ACCCACAGCCTGTCCCCACAACCCCCCCGCCTATACATACACCACCAGCACAGTCAGGGATGCTAGACGCCGGCCATAAGGACTGCAGCCCGGACCCCCTGCCTGAATACAGCTCCGTTGAGGAGAGGAATCTCTCGGGGGGACCTGGCTTTATATATATCTAGCTATATAGATAGATCTCTCGATATAAATAGATATATATCTATATAAATAGATAATGTAGCTGTATAAATAGATATATCCATATCTATATATCTTTATGTCTATATAGATGTATATCTATCTATCCAGATATAAATATAGATATATAGAGAGAGATTTATAGATATAGATAACTCTATATACATAGCTATCTCTATATAAGCAGGTATATAGACAGATCTCTCTATATAAATAGAAATATAAATATATATCTATATCTATATATAGATATAAATCTATATAGATAGATCCATATCTATGTATCTGTATGTCTATATAGATAGATTTATGTCTATCTAGATATAGATATAGAGATAGTTATTTATACATATAGATCTATCTATCTATCTTTCTATCTATCTATCTGCACGGGAACCTCCCCTCTCCCCCCAAAAAACCCCTTTCTCTGGAGCTACACACCAGCTTCGGACCCTCCTTGCACAGCCCCAAAGACCCCCCCCGCCCCTCCCCCCACACACTCTTTCCCCAAGGCAGCTGAGAGTGTCTGTTAGGGTCGGGGGGAAGCTGGGGGAGTTGAGTCCCTGGAGCAGAGAACAGGGGTAGATCCGGCACTGGCTGCAATCTGTGGCAAAGCCATTGCACTGGGTCCCGGGTGGGAGGAATTGGGGAGACGGGGGGTTGGCTCTGTGCTGATGTTGAGGCTCTTGAAGGAGGCCCCAGCTATGCATTCAGAAAGGAGGGGAAGGCGCCCCGTGCCTTTCTCTGCATGCCTTGGGGGGTGTCTCAGCCGGAGCATCCTCCCACGAAGCTCAGCTCCCCACCGCTTCCACCCACCAGCTGGGTCTGGGCCCGGGAGGGAGGCGGAGCGGGGTGCCAGGGGGGCACGGGGGCTGCCCAGGGTGACCTTGCTCCTAGGCTGTGTGTCTGCTCCTTCCCCAGGTACTGGGATGATTTCCACGCCTGCACCCTCACGGCCCTCACGGATTGCCAGGAAGGAGCGACAGATCTTTGGGAAAAACTGAAGAGGGAGTCCAAAAACCTCGATTTCCAAGGCAGCTTATTTGAACTGTGCGGGGGAAGCAACGGGTCGGCGCCTTCCCTGCTCCTGCCCGCCTTGCCGGTGCTCCTGGTCTCTCTCTCCGCGGCGCTAGTGACCTGGCTGTCCTTCTAGGAGCCCTGGGCAGAACACACCCCCTTGCACACCCACACACACTCACACACCCTCTTCACGTGCTGGATTTACAGAGGAGGCGCCCATCCGCCGCGCCGGGGGGACTGTGTGATGCATCTGTGCTGATGAACCACCCATGAAGGACTGTGGCATCGCTCGCTCTCTCCTGCTCTCTCTCTCTCTCTTTCCTTTCTCTCTCGATTTTGTGTTTTATTTGCCAAATGTTACCAAACCTTTGAGCAGCCAACAGCCAAAACCGGACCTCAGCTTTATCCTGTCTTCACATCACAAGAGCAAAACTCCAGCCCTTGGTTGCAAAACAATCTCAGGAACGGCTCTGGGCCACCTAATCTTAATAAATATGAATATATAAATCATCGCGCTAAGGCAGTAGGGGCTCCTCTGAGAATCTCAAAGAGAAATGAAGTGAGGGGGGAAACATATATTAATAACCCAGCCAAGAAACCACCACCACCAAGTAACCCAGGCACTGCTGGAAAAGAACCCAGATAGATCCCACAGCTGAAGCATATGGTGAATAACTCACAATCTCTCATCTTTTTTTTTTTTTCCTCCACGGTCGCTTGTTTTTTGGTCCATACCACTGCAAAAAAACAAAAAACAAAAAAACTCCAACAAAACAATACTAATAATAAGAAGAATCCTCTTAATCATTTTTCCTTACGGGAGGGAAACAAGGAAGAAAGAAATGGCCAGAAAGGAAGGAAAAAGAGATGTCTACCACTGATGACTGAAAGAATGAATGCTGCTAAGATTGCTGAGTTTAGCTTTACTGCTGTTGTCAAGGCATCTTTCTGAGTTCACTGCTTTTAATTTGAGTTTTCCCTCCTCTTGTTTTAGATGTTACACATACAGTAAGATACCTGAATATCCGACAGGCTAGATCACAAAAAAGAAAAAGAAATATATATAGGGGGCTTAAATGTAAACCTAAAAAAAAAATACAGTATAATGATTTTGACAGAAAAAAAGAGCCTGGATTTTAAAAGGAAAAATGTAATTTAAAAAAAAAAGGTTTATTATAAAGGTAATTCAGCAAAAAAAAAAGAGAAATTTGCTACAAAGTATAGAAAGAAGTATAAAATAAAAATTATTGTTTGAAATGAGGGTGTCGTTTTATTTACAAAATATGCATGGGCAATATATATATATGTATGTGTATATATAAATATACACAGACACATATATAACGTGTGTATATAAATATACACATACACACATATATAAATGTATATGTATGTGTGTATATATATATATATACACATACATATAAATATATGTGTGTATATATAAATATACACATACATATATAAATATATGTATGTGTATATATACACACATATATAAATATATGCGTATATATAAATACATGTATAAATATATATGTGTATATATAAATACACACATATATATAAATATATATGTGTGTGTGTGTATATATAAATACACACACACATATTTAAATGGACAGGTTTTTAAGATACTGGAGCCTAATACAGACTTGACAACTTTAATACCATAGACACTTTGGTGCAAATAAATCTAGAATTGCTAAATTGATTAGCATAGTCGATTTTTATTTCCTTGTATTTGTTGTGGTTCAGTCGTGAGTGATGGAGAGCCGGCCCCTGCAGACCTAGGGAGGGCTGCGAGTCTCGGAGGCCGGAGGCCGCTTGGTTGAGGACCCCCGAGCCCAAAGCGGCTGGATTCGTTGTGGAGCTGCTGGGACCTGGCCGGGACTGACTGCGGAGCACGGGATTGTGGCCGCATGCGAGGCAGCGCCGGGCTGCGAGGAGCATTTCTGCTGCAGTGGAAGGAAACAAGCAACCACCATTAAGACGTTGCAAAGAGAAGCTGGGATCAGATGAGTCCTTTCATAATTAATAAGACAGCTCAGCTGAACTGGCGAGGGGAGGGGGGAGGTATCGATTTGGCAGCCCGAGCCGCTGTAACCCCCGTCTATTTATAGGCTCCTGATAGAGAAGGAAGCATCAGCGAGTAAACACAGCCTTGCTACCCAGGAGCCAGGAGTCCCGCTGACCGGC